CGTGCGCCAAGTTAAATGGCTGGTAATTGACGCAGGGATGAATTCAGCCAAGGTTTGCTCCAGAATCGTGAGGGTTTGCATATTTTCGGTGTCATAGAAAGTTACTAGGGTCATTTTATTCCGATTGCTTGCCATATTATCATAGTCCATATCGGCGTCTGAACAGTGAGGGTGAAGATGCATGATTTGTTTGTAGTTCCATGCGTAATCACGCGCACCCCTAATAGGCTTTGGTTTACAAAGTACGCTTTGTTCCAGATCGTCCCAAAGTGTATCAACAGCTGTATTTCAGAGATCGCAACCATTGGACAGTTAGAGCCAATGAAAGTACACTAGAGCACAAACTTTATGAACCACTCACTGAAAACTTCCTCTCATTTTTATTTCCAATAGCGTGCAAAGAATGTGCTCCCATTAACCTCTTTGGTGGTAATTTCCACCAATGAGGCAAGGATCTCGAGTCGCACTTTTAATTGGATGAGATGGGGCGCAACACAACAACATAACAAATAAGGTTGATCCTATGTCATGTCGCGTTCGAATGCACCGACCATTCACGTATCACAATGGTTTTCATCCAACCACAAATCTTTACATGCGTAGTTTTATGCCATTGACGCCCAATAGAATTCTTCAATTACTGCGACTTCGAACTTATTGGACGGTGGTGGTTGTCAACACCATCCACTGCGTACAAGGGAAACAACACGCGAAGCTCAAAGCGCCGAAAGAAATAAAAACGCACCAGCAGTCATCAGGCAGCCCTTAAAGGGCGTGAATTAGGTCAAAACCAGCCAGGGCACCAAAGTATACCGCTGCGGCAGCAGGTTCTAAGTAGCCACATTGTTCCTAAGAGTGTTCCGGACCACTCTTGGGATTTTCTCTCAGCCATGCTGTTTTTACGCACAATTTCGCTTCGTGAATCCACTTACGAGCACTTTTCAGTGACGTAAGCAAATATAGCAACTGCATCACCATCGCTGACATGTTCCCGGGCAGTCACAGCGCGCTTTATTTGCAGAGGCCGATGTGACAACTATGGCCTCTTACGACATTTTTTCGTTTCGTGAATCGACTTACGCAACAAAATTTCTCTTGCGCAAAAATGTTTTCGTAAGTGAGTTTTGTGAATCCGGGCCCAGCAATGTGAAATCTACAACAATACCAACAACACCAAATAGATAAACAAATAAAAATAAACAAACATAAAAATCAACTCCAAATTCAAAAAATAAAAACAGTAACCATGATAATACAGCAACTGCAAAGAAATCCTAAAAACTAAACATGTGTATATCACGCAATGGAATCTGTGTACAGTGAAAAAATCTATGCCAGCTTTCACATATTTATTAAGTAACGTAGGAACTATGTAGGATAACTTATCTGTGGAGTAGTTTGTTCTCGAAGTTTTCATTTTCCATGTTTCTTTATTTCGTGTATTTCAAACAATGTAATATTTGGCTGCAGTTCTGAGAGTTCATGCCAAAAATGTCGACTTTCTTTCAATTCACGCTTGATTGCCAATGCTAACTTAAAATTGTAGAGACGATTTACGGGTAGTATTCCAGCTTGTTGAAACAATTCGCTTGTGTGAGCATCATGTGGCAAGTTAAAAATGATTCTAATATACTTCTTTTGCATCAGATACAGTTTTTGCAAGTTCGTGTAAGTTGTAGTCCCCCATACCAAGAAACAATAGGTAAGATGTGAATAGAAAAGTGATTTATAAAGTAAGAGCTTTACCTTGTATGGTAGAATAGTTTTGCCACTGTACACCATGCCCAATACGCAAGATAACTGACTCAGCACACTGTCGATGTCTTCACTCCAAAGAATATTGCTCGAAAATGTAACTCATAGAAGTTTTATACTATTTACAAGCTCAATATATGTATCGCCATACTTGAGATGTATGTTTTCCTTAACGGGCTTATTTTTAGGTCGGAATAGTACCACCTTTGTTTTACTAGTGTTTATGTTTATATAATTATTGCATGACCAGAGCTTTAGTTTCACAAGAGAATGGTTCATTTTTTCCTCAAGCGTGATACTATTTTCAGCGGAAACAAACATGCTGACATCATCGGCATATAAGACGTATTTAGTATCTGAATAAATACGAGTTAAATCATTTATATAGGCTACAAAAAGAAGGGGTCCAAGGATGCTTCCCTGAGGTACACCCTTAGTAATAGGCTTCAGCTCTGAGAGTTTTCTATCTGTTTCAACCACCTGTTTGCGATATTTAGGGTAACTTTTTATTAGGTCTAGTGCATGACCACGAATACCATAAGGAGCTTCGCCCCTGAAAACTGACATTTGACGTGGTGGCGCTTTGGTGCAGTGGTTATGGTATCTGCTTAAAGGGCATGTGGTCAAGAGGTCGATTGCGGTTTGTGGGTAACATGCATGCTAAAGTCAGAGATGTATATAAATGTATTACTGTTTATTGAGTTACCCGTAGCAATTTGTATTGCCGCAAGCTGGGGAGAAAACGCTTTGACCACACCAGAAAGATTTCTTCGTTACGCATCCACTACAAGGCCGCCTACAGACTGGCAACTTTCAGGAGCTCATGCGTAACCACAGGCTGCACCTAGCCAGGAAAACTTTCTCATAAAATCTCAGCTAAGAATCGTAGTAGTTACTGTGAAGGCAACATAAAATAGGACTGCTTTCTCTGGGACACGGCTACGGAGCCACCTATTGATTTGACTGAAAGCGGTCATTATTTGACACAACGCTTTAACATTTAGGCGTTTATTCCAGGCTGGATTTGACTAAGAGTGTAGGCGTGACAACATGGGCCTTTCATCACACATGCGATACTCGTACACACATAAAAAGCAATATGGCATAAAAGCAAGCGTGCGTCACATTAAAGGAAAACGGATACGTCATCATCAAAATAGATCGCTGGAATAAAACACAAGTAGTTAAGAGATCTTTTGTGTGAAACTTATTAGCCATACTGTCTTTGAAAATGGTGATTTCGGAAGCGTGTGCCTGGAATATATGCTCCTCTGGGCACACCATTCCTTTCAGTTCACTGAGAAAGCGGTAACTCCAGTCTGGCAGACTAAGTAGCGATGTCACGCAATGGTAGGAGAAAGGGCTCTGCATGTTAATTTGACACTGCTACGCCAGTGCTAAGTGAACACCTCAAAGACACTCTGCATCCCTGAATAATCAAGCACCTTTTGTTTATTTTGTGTCAGACGATTCGGCTGCATTAAGTTACCATTGTCGGAGAAGCTGCAGAGTGTCACTATTGCGTCCAAAACATTTCGCGACGAAACAAACAATACACACATAAAAACAAATCATTCATCACGTAAAGGTAAGTCACGTATTGAAAACTCTTAACGAAAGCAAGACTGATAGTTGGGCTAGTTGGTGATACATTATGGGCAGTACCAACGCACAAACTCACGAGACGAAGATAAGAGAGACAAACAATGCTTGTTTGTGTCTCTTCTCTTCGTCCCGTGAGTTTGTGCGCTGGTGCTGCCCACAACTTGTAACGGTGCAGAATTTACATTGATATCGCGTGATACTGTGAGCATTTGTGCACTCATGGCATATTAGGAAGGTCAATCAGCAACAATGAAGCGATTTGGTACATGTGAAGAAGCACGAGTGCTTCGTTAGGTATATATCGCTCTTTTTTGACAGACATTAGCGGCTGTTTAGTGCGTGTTCATCACTGTATTGTGGGTTTTGTGTTAATAACTTAAAAATATGTCTCGTATTCTCACATTGCGCAGCCAAGTTCAGGTGAACGAAATGCATACTCAGCATCATTGAAATTTCATTGTGAAATGAATAAAAGTTGTCTATGGAAATAAAAGTTGTGGTATATATACTTTCATTGGGTTATTTTGTACTATCACACAAATGTCTTTACCATACTGACTTTGTATGTACGCCCCCCCTCCCCCCTGCAGAAATGCCACTGCGGCATTGCAGGAATTATGTAAATAAAAAATTTGGCTGTTTTGCACACTTTATGCATTCGTACTTGGTGGTCGGGGTATTTTGCCAGTCTGTCCCCACAGCCCAGGCAATTCTTCTGAAGGCCTTTAGAGCTGGAGCTGTAGGCTTCATTGCTCGTTTCTTCGCGTACACAAAACAACTCCTAGTTTTAAGCTTCATGGCTGCATTAAGTCATGATCGTAGATGGTGATCTTCGGGACGGAATTGCGGCATTAGGTGTCTAGCGGTGCTATATCAGCCAAACACCATTAGACACTGTGCAGGATGTGTAAATAATGACAACTCCCGTGAAAACACGTTCCACTATCAGCCGTGCATTTTTTTACATCATTCGTGTGGATGCCAACACCACCGAGAGTTAATATCCGTGTTTCATCAGGCACTTCCTGCTTTCGGCATACGATTGTTATTGTACTTCATAGGTTCGCTTGCAGCGTTCTCTGGATGTACATTTCGAAAAGTGAGAGAGGCCACAAAGTCTACAAAAAGCGAGTTATATTTTAGAGATAACTGAGAACCAGTTTTATTACAGAAGTACCCCAATAAGCCAGCGATGCTTGTGTAAAATGTACCTTAAGGCATAAAAATAGTTCTTCCTTTAACCTCATTTTATTGGGAAACCCAAACTGTTCAACCTAATTTTCTCCATGTCGTTATTCCTTTCACGCCTGATTTAAACACGCAACGATGAATCCTTAGTAAAGTTCTCGCTTTTTTTGCGTGTGTAGGTTTGAGAGTAGCGTATTATTCACAGCACATTAATCTTTTGAAAAGCGAAAGGAACTTTAGTTTTTATTTGCCCTTCTTGCATCATCCAAACAGGCTTTAACAGTATGCTGAAGAGGGTTCGTCATTCAGTAATGATGTTAAGTGCATAATTTTTGTAGGTTCATTCGTTACAAATGGAAATGTTTCTATGACAGAGCAGTAGGTCACGTCTCCAGGATATGTAGCGGTCTCAGAGAGATCATTGTACCTTAACGCCACTAATATCACAGTGACGGCACTATAAAAGTGAACCAGCACTTGTGGGACGCACGCATTTGTTTAGGAACGCGGGCACCATGAAAGTCTTGGTAAGTAAGCTTCTTTCGCATTCTGACAAAGATCTGGAAATGAATTTCTTTCTCACATTATGGGGCCATCTAGTGAGACATATGAATCAAAATGAAATGACATTTGGTGTTTGTGTTGCAAGGGAAGTACTGCTTTTGGCAAAGAAACCACAGTTCCGTCAGAATGCATACTCTAATTTCTGTTCTAAACTCTGCATCAGGTTCATTAACGGCATCAGAACCACCATTACCTCAAATAACATATCTATTCAGAAGGTGTAAACGTTCAAAGTTGTATTTTGGGGAAATTTAGCACGAAGGCAGAAGATAAAATAGTACGACTATTGCTGAGAAGCACGTTCGTTATACGCAGCTATAAAATAATGTGGTTTTCCCCCCGCAGAGTGAAAACCAACAGTATTTACACACACCACAGCTAAACTCCCGATTTTAATTTGCGCTAATAAAGGAGCTCAAAAAGCGAACAATTTTGGTGAAAGTTTTTCTGGAATGCAGCTAAGGTCTAAGGAGACCGAAGAAAAAAAGGTGACACAAACTGGGCCTAATGCAAGGTTCGGGTAGTGAGCCATACTTTTCCTCTATGTTGCACATTTGCTTGTACACATACAAAAATTGTGATAGTGATAGTCCCATTATTTCATGATAATCAGTTCAAGACATTTGTACCAATACAATTTTTATATGGAGAAACTATTGAGCCGACTACATAAAAAGAACGCCTTGAAAGTTTTCCTAATTAATCTGCACATGCGAAACCTGTCAGATATTTTCTCGCATAATGAACGTTAGAGAAAGCGCAGGGAAAACTGACATAACACGACTCTACCACAATTTTAGTGATTTTCAGGATATCGAAAACGTGTAATCGAACTCGAAAGTGATCGGTCGATGTTTCTTGTGTAATTAGCTTGTATATTTTGTACAAAAGATCACAAAGATAATTTTGTGTGGAGCAGTATGTTGGGCTTAAAATTAACAGCGGTCTCAAAGCAACAAAGAATAACAATTGGAGTGGAGGAGCTCATAAGAACAGAAGCTGCCACAGACAACGTACCATATGGTTTGTAATAAACACCTGAATCATACCTTACCAACCTGGCCTTCAAAGGTTGCTGAAAATGAACCAGTGGGCCAACAACTATATTATGATTGAGTGCAGAATAAATATGCATGTACGACATTAGGCGGGTTTACTTCATGTCTGAATTCTTTCCACTTGGATTCATTGATCACTTCTGTCACATCATAGCTGATGTTTTTAGTGCTAAAATATTACTGCATGTACGCGAAAAATTTTACAAGCGTTCTGGTTTACAAAAGTAAAGGGAAAAATTCTGACGCGAAGGGCGCGGCTTGGATCCCGGCCGTGGCGGTCGCATTTTGGGCGGAGGCGATGCGGTAGGTGCACATGTACTGTGCGATGTCAGGGCACGTTAAACGCCAGATGGTCAAAATTTTCAGAGTCCTCCACTATGGTGTCTCTCATAACGATACGGTGGTTTTGGGACGTTAAACTCCAGATATTAAATGTAAAGGAAAATGACACCACAACAAGAATGTTTCCACGCCTCTCATTTTGGTGTATTTGGATTTCACCTTCAAGGACCGTTTGCTGTGCTCTGCGCATACCACGCCGTAGTATTTTAAAAGCTTCAATACTGTTTAATATCTTCGCTAAGATTGCACTAGGAACGTGGATACTCTAGTTTGTTCGAGAGCTTGCGCTGCCCCAGCAATAACGCTGGAATCTTCGACGCGTATAAAATCCAGCGCACTATATGCTGTGTGAGTCTTCATTCATGGCCAACGCTCTGTTCGCCGCAATGATTGCACGGTGTGCATGTTGTAGTTTCAATTCTTAGTCATATATTTGCTTGCGCAGCTGATCATCGTCGTGTTTTGCGTGGCCATGTCTGTGGCTCAAGCAATCCTTCACAAGGCTCTTGCTTTTGGTGCCGGACTGGTAGCTGGCAAAGCCCTTTCTGGCGGTGGTAGGGGTGGAGGTTACTACCCTTACCCATACGCTGGTGGACACTGGTGGCGGATATGGTGGAGGCTTCGGCGGTGGCTACGGCGGTGGTTTCGGATTCTCCGGCTAGAATCCCGTTGATCATAATGTTGTCACGACGCATGCAAGGAGCAGTGAGTGCCTCAAATATATCAGTCATGTCAACGCGTGAGTGTGCATAAAGACCTCCCGAAAAAAGAGGGAAAATTTTATTGCTTACTATCAGGGTCACATGTAACTCACAGTCAACATTTTAGTTAGCAAAATATATGGATGAATATCTGAGCAATTAGAAACGATCACAGTTTTAGTAAATGTCATCAATTTGTGTGACAGTCGCCTGACTTGGAATGTGAAGAGCAACAAAGACATTTGATAAGGAAAAGGCACACCTTCACGTATTGCTTTACCTATATGGCTTGGCTCTGGTTACACTTTTCGCAAATACAAAAGTAACACCGCTAAAGTGCACGAGAAAGTAGGCATATTAAGCGTCATATTTATTTTTTAGTACTTCCAAAGGCAACAATACCACCCGTCATTCATCTGGGATGCTAGGACGAACTGCAGTCTCAGAATAAACCAAATTCCTTAACACCTTTCAGAGAAAAAACATTGTCATGGAATAACTTTTATGTGTATATTCAGTTATGATTAATTGCTCACGTAATATTTTATTGAAAACGTGATGGCAAGTGTGTTGAGATGAAATGATTTTTAAAAATAATAAACAAAAATGCATTAAATTTGATACAAAAAAGATTAATTATGAGTGGTTAGAAGAGACTAGAAATGATGCGAATGAAGTAAGAAGCAGAAATTATGTGCATTTTTACTAAACAAGCACTACATGTACTTCAGGCTGGAGTTACAGCTGTCGTGACAAAGACAAATTGAAAGAGAGAAGCTGGCTGCGATAGAAGTACTCGCAGAGACAACACACTGCAAGATGCATATTGATCACAGCTTTGCCGAAATAACTTGTCCTGGGTTGATGCTTCTACGTTATTGCGCTACTCTATGGGTCATTGATTTTTTCGTGCTGCCATTGTCACACAGAATGATATAAGTATTGTTGCAGTTTAAAATCTCTAAATCGCAATATGATTCTGGAATACACCGTGGTGGAGAGCAATGGGAAATTTAAACAACAAGAAGTTCTTGATCATGCACGTGAGCCTAGCTACACGAGCCCTAGCATTTCGGTTCGGACAAAGTTTGACCACCGAAGATAGAATCAACCCCACAACCTGCAGGGTAAAGCCCTTTGTAGCTCATGTGTCGTAACAGCTACGTCGCCGTGGCAGATATCTTCAGATAGAGCTGCATGGATTTCACATGAATGCAGTAGCCTTCTGCAAGAAATTTGTAACTCTTTAGCCTGCCATGATAATAGCAAACCATGCAGGGACAGAACAGCATCCCAATATTGAATACTACTTTTCTGTTCTTTTTCTTCTTGTTTCTTGGATGATATACGCTGCACAGAATAAGTGGGTGTACTTCAGAACACTAATGCATAGTATGTATACTTCTGGTAACATACTTAACTTGTAGCTTAGCCTTTATATGCTATTTTCAACTAGCATGCCTTCTTTCTTTTTGTTTTAAAACACAGACACAAAAACAAAATGAAACAGAGCCAACCTAAAACCATTCGAATAATTTAATAACTGTTTTTCTACCTTAAAGTGTAGAGCAAAAAACATTACCTGGGCTTTTGTATCGATACTCTTGGTTGGGCTAAACGATAAGAGAACTATTTTTAGTTATATGAAACTTATATTGCTGCATGAGTTCATACAATTACACAAACTCTTACTGCAATAGATCTTACCCACAAGTTAGTTTCATAGAAAATTTAGGAATTTCAAATTCTCAATTTTTTGCTGACAATAGTGTTATAGATACGCTGGCACAACTACTGATAGAATAAAATGTTTTTGTTTTGTCCCTCACAGGTCTCACACTCTGCACAAATACAAGAATTTTTGTAACTCATCAATAGTACCTTTAAAAAAACCAGCATTACTCATCAGTCAATAAAAAGTGTTCACTATTGCATGCATCTTGGAGTCATTGTGTTTTCTCTATTTACGATTGAAGAAGAAGCCAACATGAGCGCAAGTTCACTTTCGCTTACAAATAAACTCTGTAACGCACATTAAAACGTTCCTAATGCACGCTGTGAGGTTTGAGTTGTGTCACATTGAACGGCCTTCCAAAAGCTCGAACGTTATAGCAAGCGGAATTGATTATTAAGCCTACACTACAAATTTTGCTAAAACTAACGCAGCAAAGGCAATCTAGCCGAATTGAGCCTTTTAAGGGCTTTATACTGCCTTTATTTTGAACCATGCTTTCCTTAGGGAATAATGAGATTGGCGTATAAGGTCCCGAGTCCCCTATTTTGCTACATCAAGAAATTGTGTGAATAAAAGATAGCAGAAAGAAGGTAAATTCACGATCTGACGTCATTTGCCCAATAAAGTTCAAGAACAGAAAAAAATTCGGCAGATCACGTACCTTGACAATTGTTATTATGTGAAGCATGCGAATGCTAGGTGATTGCTCTTTATTTTTTATTGAGCGACACGTTACGAAGTGGCGCTCAATATATGTACGAAACCACCCACACACATACGCTAAACTTTCACGTGTGTTCTATAATAGCAGTTGTTTAGTGTTGAGTAACAATGCCAACATCAACATGAATATTAGCTACGCCGGAAGCGGTAAGGTTATATGAAGCGCTGGTGTTTGAGCTGGGGCTCACGAGGATTGTCGTCCTCAACACTGCTACACAAATCAACCTCAGCGGTGGCGCCTAACTACAATTGACGCTAACACGACGTGCGTCTGTATCATGGGAGTACATACGTAATGTTTATGAAATTCAATAGCCAGTACTGCAACCATGTTTCAGATTTCGCGAGCATTAGGGTGAATTCGCAAAGTATTTCCGAGATCTGGCGTGGCTTTGTCGTAGAATACTTAGTTGCCACGCAGAATGCTATGGTCCAATTGCTGCCGGAACACTGACATTTATTCTTTGCATTATTCCGGTCAGCACTGCTTATGTGTGCTTATTTTTAACGCTCAAGCACTAAAATTACCCGTGTGTGATTTCGCCATTCTTGGGTAGTCATAAAATGTCTATCACATGTGGCACATACCCGCATACTAGTAGCACGCACACGAGAAAGTGTTTGACAACGTACGCGACGAGATTATGAAATTACTCATGTCATGACCAGCAAAACGTATTCGTCAAACCATCTTACCCTCCCGTGCTGAGTTTGGTGTTTACCACAGTGAAGGAATTACAATAGGAGCACGAAGATGCAGGCGGCTGCAGATAGGCGCCAAAAGCGATTGCAGTACGCAACAGTGCTGCGAAATGGGCTCCTCCATTTCATTCCAATTCCATTCTGGAGAATTAGGAGTTGCTGCTGTTCCGTTCTTTTGGATTCCGTGGAATGAAAAATACACAGCCAATTCGCACTTCTGGAATGACCAGGCCACTTAACTACAGTTCCTCTGATTCCTCGATGTTGGAAATGCAAGCGGATAGTTTTTCGAGCTAATAAAGAACGCCCACATAAAGCTGGTGTCACGAGATGCATTGTACACTGTAAAAGTACGCAAAACACGTTGCCAAGGCCAATGAATAGTAGCTTGGTATCATATCTGTGCAGTAAACACGCTGCTAATTCTTATAAGAGCGGTTCTCCCGCTGCATGTAGTATTTGCATGACGAGCATGCTTGAACCTCAGTAATGTTTTAGCAATGTCTAAACTTAAATGTGCTAATGCTGAAATGACTACAACGTGTATTTATGCTGAAAAAATAGCGTTCACGAAGACTAAGCTGTTTTTGTTTCATGTGTATGTAGCGGTCTTGAATATAGAGAAAACTAAGATTTACTAAAATTTCATAAATAAGGAACAAAACCATCTAGATCTGCTGGTATTCAGTATAAACATGCACCGCCGCTAGGAAACTTTGTGCATTTGCATCAAAAATGGAACACTGAGCCTCACTGCAGTCTACTCTAGCCGAACTGTTCGTCAGCACTCACACTTGTCAAGCGCGCTTCGCAAGGGGAGGAGAACTTTCTGTGTTCATCTGTGCGCAGGTATGCAATGTCGCAACGATTATTCACGTGTGTCAGGTTACTAAACTTCTCGTGAGATAAGGATCAGGCAGTGCATTGCGTATTCCCGCTTCCGTGAGGGGTATCAATGTGAACCAGCTTGCGGGGATAATTTGTTTGTCAATTTAGTACCTTACGGGATAATGTTATTGTTTGTACATCAACTTATGCTTCAGCTTTCATTTCACAAATTTGCTGAGTTTCGCCACTTTTACGCGACGACAGCCCTTGGCTTTGGCTGACTAACTGTATACCTAGAGGATGCGTTGTGGCCTTCGACTTCAATAAAACATTTACTCAAACCTAAATGACTAATTGAGTGTGATATTACAATATTAATAGGTGTAGGAAATACGTTCTTCCCCCATGTACTCTTTTGTATGGCGATGCAAATGTGGATATATGCTGAGTCGTAGAGGAATCCAAGCGAAGTTGCAAAAAAAGATAAACAAGTAACTACAATAATGAAATAATCTCCCTATCCCCTTGAGCAGTGGGAATGTGGGACGACTAGCTCTCAGCTCAAGATTCACGAATGCCTGATCTCCCAGGCTGGATCTCCCGGATGCCTCATTTTCCGAAGACGCTTGGCAATTGACCACTAGTTCTTTGGTCACCAGGCTGATCTTATATAAAGTGCTTAGGCGTCTTCTTGATTTTTAAGGACTGTAATAAAGGTTGTCAGCTGCACAAGTTGCAAAAGAGGTGTTATTTTGGTTTTATTGATGGAAATTTTATTGATGGGCGTGGACCATTGGACGCAACGGCCTGTGTTGCAGTACAATATAGTAAGGCTTCTCTAGCCACCCAAAGTAGCGGCAGCGGCGGCGGCGCCACCCTTTCTATAATTTAGAGAACACGGGTTTTTTCAGCGCGAATCATCGCGTCGGTTCTTGGGGAGACAACGCCGTAGTGGCCGGTGTTACGTGGGCTTTATAGTTAAATGCGCTGCTTTGTAGTTGACTCCGACGCTCTGAATTACTAATGCATGAAGTTTGAAAAGCATCGCGGGCACGAAAGCGTGCTCTATGTTAGAACAAGACCTAATTCTAGTCCACTTCGGTGATAGTCAGCGGGATGAAGTTGCTCCAGTAGGCATCAACATGCTGGCGCCAATATTGAGCGGTGCTACATCTGTCAAACACCAGGTTAACAGTCAACCGCTTCTCTGAAGTCATGCTTCCCTTTCATGTTATACTCCCTCCTATCATAAGAGGAACGGCCATGTTTTTCCATGACTTCTGCTAACGACAACGCAAGTGAAAGTAAATTTCTCCGTTTGATGAGACACTCATAAATAACTGAGCACACGTATTGCGTTGTAGCGGGCCAGGGCGCAGCCTTCCGTCGCGGCGCCATGCCTCCTCCCTATGAAGAGAGTGGGCGAGCGGCACGTAGAGACTTTCGGCGTAATGTTTACAGCATACCTGATGGGTACCATTCAATAGCTACACAGTTGAAAAAGTGATTTAAGAACAGGTCGCAAAGAGTAAAAAAAGGTATATTGGTACGTGAGAAACGAGTTAATATATTGCAAATATATTTACGAAATATATTTGAAAGAGCGCACACGTGTTATGACGATATGCATTGCATCAGCCTACACGTAGTAGAACCTCGTCGCCAAAGGCGCCATCTCGGCGCATCTAGACGTGAACGTCATTGGTTGAGTGGTACTGCTTCCGGCGTGTGACGTATACGATGTCGCTGGCCTGAGGGGTGGATGAAGGCGACGAGGCATCAGGAGCGATTTCTTAAGTGACGGGAGGCACCACACGAAGCTCACTGTATGGCCCTTTGTATTGAGAGAGCAGTTTGTCAGACAGGCCAACCTGCTTGGTCGGAGATCGAAGCAGAACCAATGAACCGGGCGAAAAGTGCATACTGTGGTGTTGTTGACCATACCGACGCCGTTGGTTTTCTTGAGAGGTCAGAAGGCGAGCACGAGTGGCTTCGCGTGCGTGGGCTGCCCGGCTGATGGCGTCCAGGGCATATTCTGCGGTAGGAGTTGCTGGCCACCGAATGGTGGTCTGGAGGGGCAATGTGGGTTGACGGCCGAACAACAGGAAAAATGGGTAGTAACCAGCTGTGTAATTGCACGGACAATTGTGCACAAATGTCACGTATGGTACAGTGACGTACCAGTCACAGTGGTCTGAGGAAACGTATTTTGAAAGCACGTCGGTTAGAATTTGGTTCAGACGCTGCTAGAGGCCATTGGTTTGTGGATGGTACGACGTAGTGAGCTTGTGGCGCGTTTCAGATGAGCGTAGGACGTCCGCTATGATTCTCGATAGAAATGTGCGGCCTCGGTCCTTGAGCAGCTGGCGTCGAGCACCATGTTGCAAGATCATGTCGCGTAGAAGAAAATTGGCGACGTCTGTAGCGCACCTTGTTGTAAGGGTGCATGTGATGGCATAGCGTGTGATGTATTCAGTGGCCACAGCTATCTACCTGTTGCCAGCAGTACACAGCAGAAAAGGTCCGAATAAGCCCAAGCCAACGCAAAAAAAAAAGGTTCAGAAGAAATGTTGAGTGGTGGAAGGCAACCAGCCGGTAGCGTCGACGGCGTTTTGCAGCGCTGGAATTCCTAACACGCTGTGACGTATCTTCAAGATGGATTTTAGAAGTGTGGCAGCATGGGATAGTTGGTATGGCATGACGATAGTTATAGCGCGAGACCAAAACGACGACACAGAGACAAGAAGGACACGAAAGATGGAGTGTGTCAGACCTTGTCAATAGAAGCGACCGCGAATTCAGTCGTATTGGCGGGACACGGCGAGGCGACCGACAGTAGGAACGTCGTGAAGTTCGTGGAGTACAGCCGAGCGGAGGTGCTTGGATATAAAAATAAGCAGAGGTGGCCCATCTGGATGGAAGTAATGCCGACATAATGCACCATCCAT